CAAAGTCGCCCGACAAGATATATATTTTTCTGAATGCAGAGATTCTGCTTAATCGATTGGTGAAAAGAAATTGATATGTTACTGATCAAAGCTGAGAGTACGGTAGACTTGAATGTGCTAACCCCTCTATTCCTCTAGCATCAGGAAAATAGCTATATCTCGGAACGAACGATACGATACGAACGATATTGGGGCCGTCTGAAAAGATTACTGTCCTGGACTTACTTACTTACTGTAAAGCGCCAATAAGCGACTTCGGTAATGTCCTATCGTCCTCTCTATCGTGATATTTGCATATTTTTCGCCATTCAATTCTGTCGTCAGCTATCATACTCACAGACTGTATCACTTTGGACTATTCCATGTAGCTTTGGACGAGTTCCTTCCATATCAATCGCTTTCTACCTCTTGTCTCTTTCCAGCGCGAAGGCGGCTCGTGCAGAAGTGATAATTTCGCTGTATTATTGTCATCACACCCAGCCAGCATTACAACCTGTCCTGGACAAAGTCGGCTTGAACTGAATCGTTTGAGTCTCAGTTAAACTTCGAATTGTTACTACGGCCTTTGATGAAATGTACAATGTTGAGTGGGCTGTTCATAAAAATTCTTTACACATTACGTGTTTACTCTTCAAACGAGAACAAGTTTCTCATCACAATAAATTTCGCACTCTGACTGATCTTTCAACGTCATTCAATCGGACATAATAAACATTCAAAAAAAATCATTCCATGTCCACAAATGAAATCAGTTAATCAGATTAAATTTTAGAGAATACCAAAGAAAAACTTCCAAATGTGAATGACACTTATCATTACCACTTTTCATCATCTTCTTCTTTAAGACCCTTTTCAGCGCTTATCAATCGATTGAGACAAACATTTTTGTAGAACGATCACTTGAAATAGATGTTGAAAGCTTCTTTTCGGTACAAAGGTCTGTCTCTGTTATGCTTGTTGTGTCATAAGCTTTTGGAGAGTATTTAAACGATGCTAATCATTTCACTTGCCAGTTCATCACTGTTGCACACTTCATTTATTCGTGTTTCTTTATGAGATGATAGCGATTTTCAAGTGCAATATTGTTAAGTGATAGCTCTTGCAGACATTTTTATTTGTCGTCGGAACAACAGCAGTTGCTATCGAACGTTTCTGACGTGATGAATATAAGAGCGATATGAATGAAAAGACGTGAATTTTGCATGACTTTGCAAATTTTTTTGCCAAAAGAATTTATTTTTTAGGTGAACTTTCAAGCCAAGTAGACTCCAATTTGCACATCGACAATGACGGTGAGTGGAACTTTTCAAACCTTAAAAAAGTTGGTTGAATTCAGGAAAATATATTTGTAACGAAAACCAAATCAACCAGCTTCAATCTGTTTTGAATTTGATGCAAATAATCATCTCAAGATTTATATTGTTCCATTTTTGTCGTTCACCCATTCATATTTTATGACGAAAATTTTCAAAGTTTTCCGTTTCTTTCATTTTTGTTTTTCAAACTATAATTTGATCTAGTTTTTCATTTTCGTGATCTTATCCAAATATTCGCCTCATGGTTACATCGGTTCATTATGATTAACTGATAGTGATGACATCCGAATGAAATTTTGGTTCGGTCGGAAACCCACTGAATTCATTCGTCGTATCTCGTCACCGAATCCGACCGAGATCCGAATTCCGAGCAGAATTCCTCGGATTTTACCGACCGAACTTCGGTCGGTCACCATCACTAGTGATTGAGTGTGATCAATGCGGCGACATGCGATTGATTGGAGGAAAAATAAAATAAAAGTTGAAAAACTGAAAGGAAATTGAAATTGAAAGGAAAAGGAAATTGAAAGTTTCAAAGCGTTGACTGATCGATGACGTGATCGCATTTCCGTTTTAAGCCAACAAAAAAATATCGCTCATCAACTCCCGCTCCCGATGACGACGTGCATGTCGCTGTCATGCTTGATCGCTCGATAAAAGCATACCTTTCCCATTGCTTAAAAACAAACTGGAGAATTTCCCGAAAATTTTCGCATAATTCACAGAAAACTCGTTCCGTTCCTTGGTGCTTTCCTCACTTATTTCATATGCAATCAATTCGCGTTTCCGTCTCTCCTTCACCATTCCAATTGGCAAGAGTGCGAATTTTCTTTATAGTTGGATTTTTGATTGCGTATTTTTAGCAGTTTCTCTTGAATAATTGCAGATTTGAGTGAAAATTTTACAATTTTTAGTTCGAAGAAGCAGCAGAAAAAGTGAAGAAGTTGAAGAAGAGACCAACTGATGATGAGATGCTTGAAGTATATTCACTCTATAAACAAGCCACAGTTGGTGATATCAACACAACGGAGCCAGGTATCACTGATGTGAAAGGAAGAGCAAAATGGAATGCTTGGAAAGGCCGAAAAGGTCGGGTTCTTTCCAATGATGTTTCGTCTTCAGATCAATCTTTTGATGTAAACCTAACAAGATTGCTTTGATTGAGATTAATTCATTTAATTAACAAGATTTTAACCTTTTGATAAGGTTCATTTCCATTTGATAAGAGAACTGCTATTGAATTTGATCATGAATTTGATCATTGAACTTGATCACCTCACCCGCAATTGATCTCTAATGAAGTGTCGTTTAGGAATGAGCAAAGATAAAGCGAAAGAGGAGTACGTGAAACTTGTCGATAAACTCGTTGCCAAATACGGTCTTGCCTAAGATGAGCGCAGCGGTGTCACTAAAGCCAATATCACCAACTAATTTCTTCCATTCACTCATTCTATTGACCATTTGAAGTGAAATTAGAATAATTCTGTAAAGCATTAATTTGAGTTTTTTGTTTATGTGTGCATTGAATCAGAAAACATTCAATTGATAACATTCAAATCTGTTTCGAAGCATTTGTTACATCGTCGTTTCATTGTTCACATTCTACGCAGGCAACATTTGGTAATCATTTAAGAAACAAACCCATTTCGCATCACACGTCTATCTCAAACTTTCGCTTGAATTGAACAAACTCAGACGTGTTCAACATTTAAAAGCAGTCAATTTTTTTACGTTTCCACTGTTCACCTATTGTCGCGGATAGCGTGGAAAGCTGACTTAAGTGGATGATGTAATTTGAGAGAAGCGAGCACGTAAACAGATTTGAAATGATCCTATGATGGATCATTTCAAATGTGGTAAATCAAGTACAAGAATCGAACAAAGAGTGAAATCAAGCTAGGTTTTGAGGATCAGCTTACAGGTGTCTAGCCTTCGACTCGGCATTGGTACAAGATCTTTGTTGAATTTCGATGTCGTTGTTAAAGTAAATTTGAAAGTAGAGAGAAACAACTGAAGACTGCTTAAATTTGACAATAAACAAGTGAACAATCAGATTCGAAAAAAATGTTTATTTATTTTTAATTCGGAAAAATTTAGAACGATATTCATTCATTCATCTCAAACTCAAGAACATTTATTTTGCGTTTACAAGCAAGAGTTGGGTCTTTAAGATTCAGCAAAGCATTATGCCCTCAAACCAATTGATTATAATCAACACATTATAAATTAACAAAAAGTTTAAAGCATTTCAAATCCGTGATATTCGGAAATATTCTCTATTTTGATGTGGTGTTGTTTGGCGTCGTTGTTTTGTTGATACTTGTTTCAGTTGATCTGTATAGAGCGAAGTATCTTTTTGACTTTGATTATAAAACAGTCGATCAGTGGAACAACAATAACTTGATATTTGCGCCAATGCCAGCATTTGGTAGGATCTGGAAGTGGGTGGCGGCGAACGACCGGCCGGAGAACGGTCGCAAGCCGCCGAGCTTGATGGAGTAGTTGACACAGCACTGTTGCTTGGCTGGCTTTGAGGTGTAGAGCCACCAGAAGAGCTTCGAGCTTGGAGTGATTTTGATGATGTGGTTGACGAGTCGAGTCGATTCAACTGTTTAGACGGTGACGGTGAAAATTCGGGCGATTGTTTCGTTTGAGATGTCTTCGAAGCATCGGATAACAACAGAAAATCATCCCTGAAAACAACGATATTCACCTGGCATGTTTATGGGTAATCTTTTCTGTGAATACTTCAGTCTGCACTCGTTAGCTAAAAACATCGCAATTCATTCGGTTGCTAAAAATGACACAACCAAAAGCACCATTCCTTAACGACAAAGCCTCAACTCTTGCTGACATTTGGGCTTGAGCTCATTGAAGTTTGCCTCGGCATCATTTTAGGCTCTTCTTGAATTGAGGATTTGTCGAGTTTAGTTCAAATTCAGATTGAGTGATTGCATTTTATGTTGACAGTATTCAGAAGTCAGTGGAGGTGGTGACCAATTGGGATTTCGACTCAAAATGTTGATGGTTTATCTCGGGATAAAGCAGACTTTAATCAGATCTGAGAATTCAGCGAACTCAGTGATTTTATGCCCGATCATTTGGTGATTTGATCAGAAGCTTACAAAAAAAATTCAATTTGTGGTGCTGCTGATATAAAGGAAATATTAAAAATTGAATGTTAGCAATGGCATCATTACAAACAAATATTTTGAATCCGAACGACGAGTCGGTGAAAATATCAGTGGAACTCACTCAAGAGCGATATCTTTAAAGGTTGTTTGAACGGAATTTCGGGCGGTTTCTAATTTTGCTGTGATTTTTGCAATACACTGTTGTAAACGTTGAAAATGTGCGGAATGCTTGGCGAGATTCAAGGATGTTATGTCGTACAAACACGATAATGCTACCGATAAATTATCCAACAATTCTGATACTTGAACCTAAATGATGAAGCTCAATCTCAATTCAATCTCGAAAACAAACCAAACTCTCACTATCCATATCAAATTCAATGCAATTTTCAGTTTATCATCAAATTCATTGCAAAATTTTGAAGTTGACTTGACGAGAAACTTAATTGAATGAACTGATTGTATGAATCACTGATGCGTATCATTATTCGAAAGGAAACAGTCAATCAAATTCAAATCAACCGAATATCAGTATCACTCGTTTGTATGTCAATCAAGCAAACATTAGTCGCTCTCTCATCGTCTAATTTACATCCTGCTGCAGTTTATCGTATGTGATCGAACGTCGAACAAGCAGTTCTCTCCTTATAAGTCTATCGATCTTGACTAATAGCAATAAATGATTCAAGCTGGCTGCAGCAATCAAAGGGCAACCTCAAGTTAAAATGTGAAGAGAGCAACCTCAAGTTCAACAACTCCATAAACTTTAGCACTCAACGATGAGCAGTCTCGTTGTGGAGGAATCTCGATTAAGTGTTCTGATGAAACAAGTGCCATTTCTTAACTTCGATTACTTCAATGATACTACTGCTGAATGATTTTCTGAAATGTAACACTGCAAAACCCTCTAACTGTCGTGCTCGAACAATGTTAACTAGCTCTCGAAAAGTTTGAAAAATTCAAACTTTTTTCCAAAATCTGCGATCGAGAACCACCGAATTGATAGGAAATATAGCAGTACGCTAACAATAAGCAGTCATCGCGATGAACCTTTAACTGATGTGAACCATGTGACGGTAATATTCACGGTTGAAATATCAACCGCTGTCACATAAACCAAAACTGAGCTCACTTCAAAGAATACAATTTATCGAGAAACAAATCTTACGGCTCCTCGATACGGTAAACAATAAGCTAATGAAGAAGAAATGTTTCGAAAGAAATGTTTCAAATATGATTTCGCTTTGCAAATTTAACTTTAATAACGGACACTTTGAATAATTGATTATCTGAATGAAATTATGATTAAATTTGAATACGAAAAGAATAATATGATGTGTTCGGTTTGCTGTCACTTGTATTTAGATGAATTTAATCTATATTAATACTGTTTTTCAATTACTTCAAACAGTTACTCTGAGCGATCGTTGGAAATATGTTCAATCGTCCAAGAGGAGTGTACTTTCAGGCTCTTTTTGAGTTCCTTTCCCTAGAAATCATTGAGCAATATGGGAGAGTGGCCCTACACCTTTGTGCTCGACGAATCAACAGTCGAAGTTAGAATTTGATGATGACAGATGATTCCGAGTGCTGTTATTACTAGCTGCGTGGAAAGAAGAATGCAAAGGAGGTAAGAATTTGATATCAGTGATAAGAGAGAGGCATAAACTCGTGACGAGTTGCAATTGCTGATTAAATCTAAATTTCGTGAACAGTTCCGCGTAAACAATTAATCTTCATCACCATAAAATCTATTGCATTAAATTCCACTGTAATATTCACAAAAAGCAAACCAACAAATCTGTTTCACCTCCCCTTTGAGGCGTTTAAATGAAGGTTTTCGTTCACTTAGATTTATTTATTGACACAGAAAATCATTTAAGAGAAGTGATCCTCATTCGAAAACGTAACGTAACATATGAACTGAGTTAAACGCAATTTTAACAGTTCACAATAGAAGAGGCAGCTTCTCGACACTCGATATATTCACATAAATGATGCTAATTAAAATGAATTTTTTATGATGTCAAATAGCAACTAGAACTGTGTACAGTGTGAATCCTCCCTCCCCTCCACTCTGATGGATATCCCAGGTTACGGATCAATCCACCCCCCCCCCCCCCCCCGTATATCTGCCAGCTAATTCCCTTAATGACCTAAATTTTATGTGTTTGAGTGTGGTGCAATCTGAAGTGATAGATTCATAAAACATTGTTTTAAGAAAGAGCGTTCAGGGAAATGATTGCATTGTTGGGTGAGAGGCAGTGGCGTATCGCTCGTTCGTGAACTTTTGTTAATCAATACGCCAATCGCATTTAATGGTCTTTTGTTCTTGTTCTTATTATTATTAATATTATTATTATTGGTATTAATTTTATTATCAATGTTGTCATTATCATTGCACATCGCTATTATCAATATATATAAATACATTGTTGATGTTTATTTATATTATTATTATTAATAAATTTATTATTTATGCGGGTAACCACTGTTTTATTTTATTATTTATTTAGATTATTATTTATGTGGGTAACGATTGTTCACTTGAATGTTGTAGTAAACTGAAAATTTAGAAATGTTTCTACCTAGGAGCATCAAGGCACTTGAATGATTGCAATAAAAATATGATTAATTAGAGTGAGATTATGAAATGGTGCGTGAGTTTATTGGGTGGTTGTTATGGAAACGTTTCGTGAACATTCATTCCAGTTATTTGCTTTATTTTGATTGATTTGTTTAGCATTTATTGCGATTTTTGTTATTATTATTGTGGTGCTTGTTTATGGCTGTGTAACTCGATCCGAATGTTTATGATATAGGTGGTGGTGCTTGTGCTTTGAGCACTCCTATTCTTCAGCTGTTGAAAAATTTATTTGAATTCATTGTGTGAATCGATAGTGGATGAACGTAGGAATATTAGTGCTAATGTTTGCTTGTAAATCATGTAAATTATTAGTGATTTATGTGTAACGACTGAATACGCACAAATGCATTCAGTTTTGTTTCTGCTGATTGTGAGTATTTGTGTCATTTTATTCGTAATAAGGCGTACTTTTATTTGGTTTATTGTAATGAAGTAGGTTTATTTTCATGCGTATCAGTGTTATTCTCATGTAATGAAGTAATAATGATAATAATTGTTATTATTATTATTGTTAATCAAGCCAATAATAATTATTATAGCTTGATTAATATTCCATTAATTCGTCGTTTCTCCCTGCAGCACTGAAGTGAATATAGCGTGTTTTCTTCAGTCACTGTAAAACGTTATTTTTGAATGGTGACAATGACCGAATTGAAGAATATTATTGAATTTCAGATCATTTTATCTTTTATTCAATTGTCCATAATATCAGAGCCTTATTGATTGAGGCAGTGACTCTTATTATATGTTCAGTTACTGTCTTTATTATTATTGCTATTAATTACTATTATAAATAATGTTTCCACGAAGTTCATCCCCGTCATGTGCAACGATGCAATCTATGAGATCGTTAGTCATTTATTCTTGTATTTAATTCATCGGTTATTAATTCGTGTACTTGTTTATTTTTTTAATTTGTCCATTTTAATCAGATATTTTATTTTTTATGACTCTCATGGTGAGGGGATTGTTTAAAATGCTAACAGTCATAATGTAATAAAGATAACAATGACAGGTTATCACCGTCAACTTCATCGTTCGGACGTGATATATTGAACAATCTGAAGCGATCGAAACTGTACCATTCGCTATCGTCACTCGACAAAACGAAATTGTGGAGTCGGTTCTATGTGGACGATGAAGACAATATTCAGGTTTTGTTTATTTATTCTATATGTCTTGTTTATTTTATTGTATATATCTTATTGTTTAGTTATTATTTGCACATTTCAGCGAGTCTTAGACGTAGTATCAGATGATCAAAAAATTATAACAAATCCACGTTTGAATCGAAAACGAAGGACTGTCATGGTTAGACGAAATCCTGATCAATTATTTGGTTTTACAATACAGGTTTATTATACTTTTCGCTATTATTGTTATTATTATCATTATTATTGTTTTATTATTATTATTATTATTATTATCATTGTTATCAGTATTCTTCAGTGATTATTGTAATGCACTGATGATTTCCGTCATTCCTTAATCTATAGAATTAATTATTTCCACCTTCAATATTGTAAAAACATTCTTATAAAAGTAAATTGAATTCCGTTTTTGATACTGAAAACAGTTGAAAAGAAAAATAATAGAAGTGAAAAGTATTAATATATAATTCAGTGTTACGTAATAAAACGGAATATCGATGATGTGACTGAGAAGATTTCCTATATTGATTATGTACAAATGGATAGTCCGGCTTTCGAAGCGGGTATAAGGCCTGGTTAGTGATATGTTGATTCGATTTGATCAATAGAAAATGATTTATTTCTATGATAACGAAGCAATAATGCAAAAGGTATCGGTTTCTTAATGGAAAACAAAAACACTTTTGCTTCTGAAACAGTTGTTCTGGATTTTTAGTTCACAGTTTTCTAGTTTCCTAGTGGTGAAAAATGGTTTTAATGAGAAATGATTTGGCATCGGAAAGTTATGAATAGAAGTTTTGTGAGAACAAATCATTTGATGCATTATTTGCGTCGTACTGAAAAAAAGTAATCGAAAGGAATGCGATAAAATGATGAAATTTGAGGTGATGTGATCATTTCAATCAACGGATGTGTGGTGACGACGATGTCGCATAAAGATTTAATTGATTTAATAAATTCTTTATACGAGATGCGAATGGTGCTGATTAACGATTCCATTAAAGAGCGCATCAATTTAATTGGACGCGCCATAAAGCTGCGGAAATTGTTGAATGATAAATTGTATCAGTTGAATATCATTGATATTCAGGAACAGAATATCCTATTTAGTTAGTCGTTATTTATTTTGTTCGGTCATTTTCATTTGCTATCATCGTTGTCATTCTGTCCAATTTTTTTGATTCAAAATCTATTTAGTGTAATGATGAGTAAGGGTTTTTTTGTCATAATAGAGTTATTGAAATGGGAAAATATTAGTGTCAGTTTCAATTAAAATTAGAGCAATACTCAAGAACAGCAATGATCAAAGATGTCAGTCATTGAAGACGAAACGCCTCTGTGCCGATTCCATATCAGAGAAGAGCGTCGTCCATGCCCTAGAGCAATTTTTAATCTGAAATAGAGTGAGATCAAACCCGAAACGAGCTCAGACCTGGGATTTGCCAAATTTCAGTGCAACCGATTTGATCCTCAAAAAACGTTCATTAGAAAAAGCGATAATAGTAAACGATTCTCGTCCCTTCCCATAAGGATGCGGACAACCGAGTTGAAACACGTTGATCTAATATGACTAGCTGATTGGATGAGTTCAAGCCAGAAGTCCGCGATAATTTACAAGCGCAAGGCCTAGGACAAGCTAGCGTAAGCCCGAGCTTAACAGTTAACCTAATGTTAAGCCCAAGCATGAATTGAGACGAGTCCAGGGTTCAGGGCTATGATAAAGATGGATCCTCTGAAATCATATGATAGAAATGAAATGGAATTTACAGGAGCATATCAACGATCACTATCCGCACAAATCAGTTCTGATTCAATCTCAAATAAGAAACAACTAATTGAAAATGTCACTAATGATTCAGTATTCAATAATAAAACAAATGCAGCAACAAATATTATCATTGATACAAAGCAGAATATTGAGATTGAAGCAGATATTGAAAACGATACTGCAAATGATATTGATGAATGTTCATGCGAATGCGGTGATAACAATAATAGTTATAATAATAAGACTATAATAAATATCAGCGACGAGTCAATCGAACCGACAACAATTCTGGTGAATAGACAAAACTCTGAAGAGGCAAACGACAGTAACAACAACAATAATTCATTAAATTCGTCTCTATCATCATGCTCAACAAACAAGTCAACTGATATAATTGACTCAATCGCATTCAAGCACATCTTTCAGTTGGATGATTTCGACGTGCTAAGTGATGATAACAAATCCATACATATCACTAAATTGTGATTTTTTATTCATATCCCTTATTATTTATTCTTATTTACGATATCTTCAATTTTATCGTCAAATGGCCAAGTTTATGTGTAACCGGTGATTTTCTTTTGTTTTTCGTTCATTGAGCCTAATCGGTGACTTTCAATTATTTGATCTGAATTTTATCGCCATTATGAATATTATTATTTCTATTCGTATTCCAGGCCGGGTTAATTCCATAATCCTGATGATTGATTGTATAATAATAAACTGTATCAAATTTTTGCACATCAATTTACAAATCTTGCGATATCTCAACATTTTGTGGTGTGATTTCAATTGAGAATTTTGTATATATTTCGTTTTTGTGTTTTGGCACGTTTCGAGTTATGTTTTAAGTTATTATTCTGATTTATTTTAGTTATTGCCTTGTCGTTTTATATTGCGTTTATCATTTTGAGCGTAGTTACCGTTATTATTATTGCTACTATAATTATTATTAATCCTTTTATTTTATTATCATTGCTGTATTCATCAGTTCTATGAGGTGGAATACGTGTTTGAGATTGTTTTTGTGTATTATTTATTAGCGTTTTTAAGTGGTTATGTTATGTTATGTTTATCGAAAGCGGTGCTTATGTTGTTTGTATGTACGGTGTTACTCGATTTTTGTTCAGTATTATTTTAGAGTTTTGATGGTTTGTTTATTAGGCATTGATTACTTGATTACTGAGAAATTAAACGGTAATGCTCTTAGGTACGTGTAAAATATTTATTTTCATACATAAATTATAAAATGATTGTAAGTCTCTGTGATATGTTCATTATTATTATTATTGTCATTATTTTACTTATATAGGTTACTCTGTTGTTGTGACCAACGGCGCCGTGAAGACTGATTCACTTTCTATGAGATTAGGCTGAATATGTGAACGTTGCATTGATTATTATTGTCCCGTGCGATAACTGCTCATATTTTGAAGTGAAATAAATCATCAAGCAGAAAGATGGATAGATATATGCCTTGTAAATGCCTCGCACTTCCTTCATGAAGAACACCACTCAATAATCGTTATCGAATCGGTCATTGTTGAATATTTTCGATCGATGTAGTTTTTGAATTTTTTGCGGTTTTGCCTCATCAAAATTTATGATTCATGATATATTTTCGGAAGACTTAACATGGAATTTTTTGAAAAAAAATCTATGACTGTTTATTTTTAGAAAGCTTTTGCAAAGTTACCTCTCAGAAAGCTTTTGCAAAGTAAGGAAAATTTCAGCTTTTGGTCAACTCGTAGTCACTTTTGCTTACAGTTAGTTCAGATTATCAAATCAAATGGAACTGTTTCAATTCCTCACTAATACAAATGGAAATGAATCTAGAAACAGAACGATAATTCAGAGTGCCAACCGTTAATTGGTACGTCGCGGGTTCGAGTCTCATTCGCGGAAGGAAGTTTTTTTTCGGAACCAAATGGTGTATTGATGTTGCGAGCCTAAGGCAGGCTATGATTTGACTTGTATCTAATTATCTGATAATTTAGCAGTTTTAAGCCAAATGCAGATGGTTGTTCAAAGGAATACGTTTGTCAGTTCCGTTGTTCATCAACTAAATTACGACTACACAATAACGATGACATAATGTTGGTGTAATTGTTTCGTATTACAGAGACTGACTGCATTACGATTACAAATCGGCATTGCATATTGACAAAGAAACGTTTAAAATCGAAATGACATTAATTTCGCTTTGTACTATGCATCGAAGCCAATCCATCTTCTTCGATTGTCCCATTTCATTTCAAACCGTTGAATGCCTACGCTTTTGTGCTTTGCTATTCATATTCACAGGCTTGAAGGGACCAACCAAGCTAGCGTTAGTCAGAATTAAGTGTAGGGCTGTTGATGGCGAATTTAAGCTGGAAGTCATATTCTCCCTACCCCTCTTTCATCCTCCCCCCCCCCCCCC